TCTCACTCCTCACTCCCTCTTCTCTCCTCACTCCCTTTCTCTTCTCACTCCCTCTCTTCTCTCTCTCCCTCTCCTCTCTCCTCACTCCCTCTCCTCTCCTCTCACTCCCTTTCTCTCTCTTCTCACTCCCTCTTCTCTCACTCCCTTTTCTCTCTCTCACTCCCTTTCTCTTCTCACTCCCTTTTCTCTTCTCTCACTCCTTCTCTCACTCCCTCTCCTCTCTCACTCCCTCTTCTCTCTTCTCTCTCCCTTTCTCTCTTCTCTCTCTTTTCTCTTCTCTCTCACTCCCTCTCTTCTCTCTCCTCACTCCCTCTTCTCTCCTCACTCCCTTTCTCTCCTCTCTCCCTCTTCTCACTCCCTCTTCTCACTCCCTTTTCTCTTCTCACTCCCTTTCTTCTCACTCCCTTTTCTCTTCTCACTCCCTTTCTTCTCACTCCCTCTTCTCTCTCCTCTCACTTCCTTTCTCTTCTCACTCCCTCTCCTCTCTCCTCACTTCCTCTCCTCTCCTCACTCCCTTTCTCTCTTCTCTCACTCCCTCTTCTCACTCCCTCTCTTCTCTCTCCTCTCACTCCCTTTCTCTCCTCTCACTCCCTTTCTCTCTCTTCACTCCCTCTTTTCTCTCTCACTCCCCCTCTTCTCTCACTCCCTCTTCTCTTCTCTCTCTCTCTCTCTCACACACACACAAAGTTGAATCTCACTCCAATCAAGGAGGAAATCACACCACACTGTCAACACTGGTAAAGCAGTATGTAAATTAGCAGGGAGTAAACCCCACACTTTACTAGCACTGGTGAAGCCACCTAGTTGGGTAATGCAACGCCTGCAACCAAACCACCCAGCTGAGGGAACGCCAAGGACCTCCCTGGTTTATTTTCAGTTTCCAGAGCCAGAACAGTCCTAAACGGTTACCCTAGTTATCCTAAATACTTATAACTTTTCTTGTATTTTAATTTAAAACAATTATCCCAAAAGAGAGGTCTAAGGAGACACATCCTTAGGGCTAGTCAGTGCTGACATCATGGGTGCTAGTGAGTGTGCCTTATTTATATTCGGTATACCTGCCAGAGTTAGGTCCCTTGGTAAGTCCTTGATTAAGTTATTATGGGCTGCTTCATTGTTTGTCCGATGTAACTACCGAAAAGAGAAAATCAGGCCCTCACTGGCAGAGCAAGCTCCTATATATAAACAACGGGCAACCCCTACACCTGGTAGCACTGATGATGTTACCTAGTTGGGTAATGAAATGCCTGCATGCAAATAACAAAGCTCAGAGAGCACCAGATTCCACGTCTCGCTCCCAACTGTGTGACAAAGCAACTGTTTTAGCAGCAGACAGGTACACTGAGCAGCCCTTCAGGTGAGAAACCATCTGCAGGGATAGGTTTTTCTCACCGACGTCCAATGGCCCGTTTTGTTTTGTTTTGGCTGGATGCAATTTTCCCACACGGGCGCTTCGCTTCGGCTGCAACCCCTAAGTTAAAAACGCACATTATCTCAGCATTACTTCCACTACCGCTGCCAAAACTGTAAGACAGAGAGCGTACAAATCAGAAATGTCTTTCTGAAAGACATTTGAAAGGAGGAGGAGGGAAGAAAGGTAAATAGGAAAAGTTGGGAAGGGAAGGGAAAGAAGAAGAGATGGAGGGAAGGGAAGGGAAGGAAGAGATGGAGGGAAGGGAAGGAAGAGCTGAAGGGAAGCGAAGGAAGAAGAGATGGAGGGAAGGAAAGGAAAGGAAAGGAAGAGATGGAGGGAAGGGAAGGAAGAAGAGATGAAGGGAAGGGAAGGAAGAAGAGATGAAGGGAAGGGAAGGAAGAAGAGATGAAGGGAAGGGAAGGAAGAAGAGATGAAGGGAAGGGAAGGAAGAGATGAAGGGAAGAAAGAAGAGAAGAAGAGAAGGGAAGGAAGAAGAGATGGAGGGAGGGAAGGAAAGGAAAGGAAGAGATGGAGGGAAGGGAAGGAAGAAGAGATGAAGGGAAGAGAAGGGAAGGAAGAAGAGAGGGAGGGAAGGGAAGGAAAGGAAAGGAAGAAGAGATGGAGGGAAAGGAAAAGAAGAGATGGAGGGAAGAGAAGGGAAGGGAAGGAAGAGATGAAGGGAAGGGAAGGAAAGGAAAGGAAGAGATGGAGGGAAGGGAAGGAAGAAGAGATGAAGGGGAGGGGGCGGGAAAGAAAAGGAAGAAGAGATGATGGAAAGGAAGAAGAGATGAAGGGAACGGAAGGGAAGGGAAGGGAAAGGAAAGGAAAGGAAAGGAAAGGAAAGGAAAGGGAATAAACACCAGAAAGATAAACGGAGGGAAAGATAAAGAGGGAAGGAAAGCAAAATCCTTTGAATCAGAGGGTTAAGCCAAGCCATGTGGCTCTTCAGCAGGATGCTTCCTAGCAGAGAAGCCTCCGCAGTCGGCACAGACAGCGGCAGAGAGCTAAAGGGAGAGGAAAAGAAAGAAGGCATGTGCCCAATTCTGTTTTGAATGTCAAAAACATTCATCTTGTCACGAAAACCAGGCAGGGCCGAAGGAAAAGCAAACCCTGAGAGAAGAATTAAGCAACAGCTTCATTTGGAACGGGAGGCTGCAAAGAGCCAATATTTGTTTTTCCATTTTCCCCCCCCTTTCCTAAAAAAAAGAGAGGGGGGGGGGGGGTTCTTTGGATTGCATCACAAGGGCGGATCGGTATTGTTTTGCAACGGAAATCAGAGGCAGGTTTCCTACACCAGGCTGGGCTGTAACGCGATAAGCATTTTGGCTCAGGGGTAGTTATTTGTTTAGCAAATCGGAGCTGAGCAAAAACCTTATGCGATAAATCCAGCAAGGACAGCCCTGCCTTCGCTCAGTTGCAAATGAACAGCTGGGAAGGATCTGGACGGACTGTCTTTTCAATGTATTTCTTGGAGAGACCCTGAAAGCGCTGGAAAGAGCGTTTTGAAAGAAGCAGGAGGGAAGAAAGGGAAGGGGGAAGGAGGAAAGAAAAGAGGAAGGAGGAAAGAGGGAAGGGATGAGGAAGGGAAAGGAGGGAGGAGAGGAAGAAAAGGGAAGGGGGAAGGGATGAGGAAGGAAAGAAAAGAGGAAGGAGGAAAGGGAAGGGAAAGGGGGGAAGAAGGAAGGAATGAGGAAGGGAAGGGAAAGGAGGGAGGGAGGCGAGGAGGGAGGAAAGAGAAAGGGGGGAAGAGGGAAGGAATGAGGAAGGGAAGGGAAAGGAAGGGGAAGGAGGGAGGGAGGAGAGGAAGGAGGAAAAGGGAAGGGGGAAGAGGGAAGGGAAGGAAGGAGGGAGGAGAAGAAGGAAGGAGGGAAGAGAAGGAATGAGGAAGGGAAGGGAAAAGAAGGGGAAGGAGGGAGGGGAGGAAGGAGGAAAGGGAAGGGAAAGGAGGAAAGGGAAGGGGAAGGAGGAAAGAAAAGAGGAAGGAGGAAGGGGAAGGGAAAAGAAGGGGAAGGAGGGAGGAGAGGAAGGAGGAAAAGGGAAGGGGGAAGAGGGAAGGGAAGGAAGGAGGGAAGGGAAGGAGGAAGGAGGGAAGAGGAAGGAGGAAAGGGAAGGGAAAGGAGGAAAGGGAAGGGGAAGGAGGAAAGAAAAGAGGAAGGAAAAAAGGGAAGGGAAAGGAAGGGGAAGGAGGGAGGAGAGGAAGGAAAAAAGGGAAGGGAAAGGAAAGGGGGGAAGAGGAAAGGGATGAGGAACAGAAGGAGAAGGAAAGGGAACAAGACCTTCAAACTTGTCAAGCGATATCCTCTAAATTAGGGGTGGGAAAGGACTTGAGGAGCCATTTGGAAAAAGCTCAAATCGCATCAGCCGCTCAGCGGGAAGGATTAATGCATCCCCAGGAATCATTAGGGAAAGAGAAGCGAGAAACCAAGGCAGCGGGAATCATCGTTCCGTGGCACATGCTTCGTGCTTCTAGGAGCAATGTGTGTGACACCAGCTTGAAGATGACGAATGAGACTTCGTCGAAACATTGCCAAGACACCTCCAATTTTACGCAGGAGAAAACCCGAATAACCAAAGACCTACATACAAACACCTGCGAAAACCTCAGAAAACAAATATATATACATATATCTATATCTATATCTGTATCTGTATCTGTATCTATATCTGAATCTATAGATATATATATATCTTTTTAACCAGCTTTTCTCTTGGCTTCCAGACAGGTCCCGAAGCCAACAGACAAGCTGGTTAAATTTGGTTAGCGGAGGAGGAGGAGGAAGTGAAAGGGCCCCAATTAATGCTTAGCAGCTGTGGAGAGGATCCTTTTTGCCATAAAACCAAACATGACCTCAAACCTCTCCGGCATGATCTTCTAGTCCAGTGAAAAGAAGGAGCAGAGTGGCATGATAGCAGTGTTCCCATATTTGAGGGGCTGCCACAAAGAAGAAGGAGGGTCAAATTATTCTCCGAAGCCCCTGAAGGCAGGACAAGAAGCAACGGGTGGAAACTAATCAAGGAGAGAAGCAACCTGGAATTAAGGAGAAACTTCCCAACAGTGAGAACAATTAGCCAACGGAACTGCTTGCCTCCAGAAGTTGTGGCTGCTCCATCACTGGAAGCTTTTAAGAAGAGGCTGGACAGCCATTTGTCTGAAATGGTGTAGCACCTTCCGCCGGCCAGCTAGTCTTCGGGTCTCTGCTGTACATGCGGGGGTGGGCGAGGCGCACGCAGGGATGTGCGCGCAAATGTACGGGGGCAGGATGCATGCGCGGGGGGAGCTCGCATTGCATTTTGGGGGTGCACGCACGCATGCACCCACCCCACACCCCATTCTGGGCCTGGAAAGCCTCCTGTACCAACCTGGAAGCCAAAAAGGGATGGGGGGGCGCATGCACGAGGGGCTACTCAGCACCAAAAAGGTTAACCATCACTGGTATAGGAGCTCCTGCTCCAGCAGGGGGTTGGACTAGAAGACCTCCAAGGTCTCTTCCAATTCTGTTATTCAAAGCGAGAACTTTGCTCGGACCTCAAACCAAGGAGCTTCGGAACCCCGGCTGCGGAGAAACAGGACTTCTCGTCGCGCAGGTACAATTTTGGAAAAGGAACTTTTAATGCAGTCGTTCAAAGAAACACAAAAAAAGGGGTGCCACCCTCTGCTCTCAGCCGCTGAGAAGAGGATGTGAATTTCAAGTATTTCTTTATTCATTAAAGACCATTCTTTCTTTCTTTCTTTCTTTCCCTCCCGCCTGCCCGGTTGTTAGTGAATTAAAATCTCAAATCGTTTTTGCCTTCCAATCCTGATGGAATTGACTGATCTGGTGCATTGCTTAAAACTGGTCTTTGGATGGGATCATTAAGGATATTCCCAGGCCTCTTTCCCTTGTCTGAAGACTCTTTTCTCTAGCAAAAGGGGAAGCTAAATTTTTTTTTTTTCTATTCCCCCACTGCCTCGAGCCCACCTACCATCCTGGTGGGGCAGGCAATTCTGTGTAAACGAGCCTCCGTTTTGAAGCATTCAAGCTGCCAAGAAATGTACACCATCTTCTTGGGGGGGTGTCTAAACTAGTTTTTTTTTTCAGCGATAGCAACCTTAGGGATGTGTGGACTTCAATTCCCAGAATTCCCCAGCCAGCTTTGCTGGCTGGGGAATTCTGGGAGTTGAAATCCACAAGTCTTAAAGTTGCCAAGATTTGAGAGCCGTTCTTCTTCAGATCAAGGCTGAGATCTCGCTGGCCTGACACACCCAATTTGTGCCTCCCCTCCAAAAAAAGTATTCAAAATGGCGATGCCAGAATTTGGCAGTTAAATGTCCCCTTTGAGGCAGCGTGGTTTCCTTTCAGCGGGAGGGGAGAGAGAATCAAGAGAAAAACGCTCACAACCGAAAAGGGCTGCTGTGAAAAGCCTTACAACAGAGTTTCCCAAATAGGGCGACTTTTTCAGATGCCTGGACTTCAACTCCCAGAATTCCATGCTGGCTGGCTGGCTGGCTGGCTGGGGTGGGGGATTCTGGGAGTTGAAGTCCACAAGTCTTAAAAGTTGCCAAGCGTGGGGAAACCCTGCTTTACAAGCTCCTCCTGGAAAGCGAGTGAACGGAGGATAACTGGAAATCAGAAAAGGACGCACTGCAAATTCTCACCACCTTTTTCAGAATCTTGGGTGTTTTAGTATAGTATATATATATATATATATTATATATATATATAATGGCAACAGTACAGTCTTTCAACGTAACTTTTGTTTGCCTGGGAATTTTAAACGCATTTGCCCTGAACAGTTTTATACTGTTATCAATCGTGGTATAAATCTTAAAATTATCACAACCTTAAAAATAAAAATTCAACAATGTAAACAGCACTACACACAGTATAGGCCTGCTCTGTTTAAAAAAAAAAACAAAAAAATGCAGAACTTCAATCTGGCACTGTAATAATTTAGTGATGTTAATTTAACCTCACCAGGAAAAAGAAGAATATATATATATATATATATATTCTTTGAAAGTTGTATATTCCTTTGAAAGTTGTATATATATATATACAACTTTCAAAGGAATATATATATATTCCTTTGAAAGTTGTGTAACCTGGGGCAAAGAAGCATACCAGCCTGAAAACCATTTGGAAATAAAATCATTTAACTCGCAACCAGAGGGAAGGGAAGGGAAGGGAAGGGAAGGGAAGGGAAGGGAAGGGAAGGGAAGGGAAGGGAAGGGAAGGGAAGGGGAGAATTAAACTTTTCGAGGAGAGGAGGAACGGGAATAGCCCATTTTTTTAAAAAGAAAGTGCCTAAAATATGGATACAGCATTTTAAAGCCCTTTCAAAATACAAGGCAGAGAAAGGTGTAAAGTAGAAAAAAATCTGGAGAAGTCTGTAAATTCCAGAGGAGTTCTGAGCTTACGGGCCATGAAGTGGGGGGGGGGAGGGAAAGGGAAGTGGGGGGGAACAATTGCCGCTGTCGAAACTGTCAGGCCGCGTGATGGTCTGTACACGGGGACGCTGTCTGTAAATCCTCCAAGCGGGTGGGACCCTCCTCTTCCTCCCCCTTCCTCCGTCGCTCCGTCTCCCATTCCACGAAAGTGTCAAAGAGGCTGGGCCAAGCCTCGTCCTCGCTGTAATTGCTGAGGTCCGGCCCGATGACCTGAGTAAAATTAAGGAACATGTTCCAGGTGTCACGGGAGATCCCCTTGATACCCGAAGGGTTCTCGGTCAAGAAGTGTAACCACTGGTCCAAAATGGGAGGCTTGTTCTGCGTGAAAACCAGCTTCCAGAGAGCGATGGCTATTTCCCGGTGGAGCGACCTCTGGCCTTCGTCCGAATCCAAGCCGAATTGGAAAGTGAAACGGTAGAGGTCTTTGAATTTATCTTCTTGCTTCGCTTCGGTCAAGAGGCTGGGGAACCGGGCGCAAATCCCGTCGATGGTGTCCGCGTTTATTGCTTTGCAACCCTCAAAAAACTCCATCCTGTGGTGGGTTAGGGAGGAAAGATGCCGGTTAGGTTTGATTTTCACAATTTAAAAAAAAAACAAAACTTTTTTATTAGTTTATCGAAGTATAAAATGCAAAGAAAAAAACAAACCATGGAAAAGTAAGAAGAGAGGAATGGAAAAAGAGGGGGTGTAGTATAAAGCAGGGGTCTCCAAAGCTGGCTGCGGAATTTTGGGAGTTGAAGTCCGCCAGGCTTAAAGTTGCCAAGGTTGGAGACCTCTGGTATAAAGGAAGAAAAAAAGGAGGAAAAAGGCACCAACTTAGGTTTGATTTTCAATAGTTTAAATCAACATCTCTAGAGATTCTCAGTCATCCAGATCATGGTTGTCCCAAAGGCGCTTTCTTCTTTTTCTTTTCTTTTTTCCAAAAAGCAACTGGACTTTCTGTGGGGGGTTTTTTCCTCTTGAAGACGTTTCACTTCTCATCCAAGAAGCTTCTTCAGTTCTGACTGAATGGTGAGGAATGTCTAACATTCTGGACAGAGAGGGCCACTGGTTTGGAAAGAGGGGTAAAAGAAGCCATCTGTGTTAAAACTGAGCAGTCCTCCCTCAACAAAGGGGAGGGATAGGACACCACCTCTCTCTCTCCTGTTTACAACACAGTCCTTTCATCTGTGTCCCCTGACGTACCAAGTGGCCTCAACGACTCTCTAAAAAGGATGCAAATGACCAGCTGTCTGCGAGGAGTATCAATCCTTCCGTTCTTCAGAGCTGGAGAAGCTTCTTGGATGAGAAGCGAAATGTCTTCAAAGAAAAACCAGAAAGTCCAGTTGCCTCCTGAAAAAGAAGGCAACTTCCAAACGGTTCCAAGGAGGTCCCGCATACCCATTTGCACTCTGATTCAGGTGGCCCTGAGGGCACAGATAAACCTCCAAGTGGCCTCAACGGCCAACCTTCAAAGTGCTAACCCGCCAGAGTGGAAGGAAGGACTACAAATTCTTCTATTCTTCCCCACCGTTCAGTCAGAACTGAAGATGCTTCTTGGATGAGAAGCAAAAGGACTTCCAAGAGAATGGAATCCCACCATTCCACTTATTTTGCTGGATTGGTGGCCTCTACTAGTGTTGTGGCCTGCCAGCGGCCTGCGCAGATCGTGGCTGATCCCGACGAGGAGGAGGCTGATGTGGTGTCGCGCCAGCAGCCTGCGCAGCCGGCGCTCGAGTCGGACAGCGAGGAGGCTGAAGAGGATGTGGTGCCAGAGGCAGAGACTCAGCCAGGGCCTTCAGAACCTCCAGAGGCTCCTTCAAGTGGAGAGAGCGAAGTGGAGGAGCCTCTCCTCAATGCTCGAGCACGCCAAAAGGCAGGAGTGGCTACTCAGGAGGAGGAGGAGGTCTCCTCGAGAGTAAGGCTTGAGGATAATTGGCCATTCACTTAGCCTATTTAAGTCACACGCCATTAGTAAGTTTCTTGCTAGAAACAACTTGTAATTATCATCAGAGCATTTTGGGAAAAGTCTTTATCGTATTATTTATTTATTTTGGTTTATCATATCTTGTTTTCTGGGCTGGTTGCCAACCTTTGCCGGTCTTGTTTGTTCTTGCTACTTAATAAATTTGATAAGGACCGTTGGTGTGTGTAAATATCCTCGGAAATTCGGAGCTGGGGCAGAACAACTAGCCTCAGAAGAGAGGAGGACAATGTGGCCTCTGAAAACAGGTGAGGAAATTTTAGGTTGCCAGGAGACAGAGTTAAGTTTTTTTAGGAAGCCAAGGAACATTATGCAAATGGAATAGGGTGTGTCAAGCAAATGGGTGTTATTGTGGCCTCTTGGCTGTCGGCCCCTCCAGCAGCCAAATCAGAGGAGGAGGAGGCATGGGAGTTGAGGTCAGCATCAAGGCAACCTGAGAACTCCGAGAGGGAAGGGGGAATGGAGCTGTCAGAGAGAGAGAGAGAGACAGAGGTGGAGCCTAGGCCATCCATCAGCCCTCAGATGGAGAGTCAACAGCCCCCAGGTCTGGAGGTGGCTGATGAGGAAGAGGAGGAACAGCTGGGTCCAGTGCCTGATGCACGGATGCCCAGAAGACAGAGGAGAGGAGAGCAGTGGAAATCTATGGGCCGGTCCTTGTGATGGAGGAGCCACTGCTGCTAGCGAAGCCCCACCCTAGCTCTGGGGATCAAAGGCAGGGGGTGGAGATGAATAGATGTGGCAGACAACTATTCATCTGCCTGCCGGACAGACTTGTTAGCCTGCGGTGAGAGAGAAACTTTTTGCTGGAGCTGCTGGCGCTCCTAATCCAGGAATCTTGGGTGAAGCCAGGTTTTTCTGTATTTCCCTAGAGTTTGCACAGAGAACATGCTTGCCACTTACATTTTCCAAGTTTTTCCCCGTCTCTTCGATTTTTTTCAAAACCTAGTTGAGGGGGGCTCCAGAGACCGAGCAGCCCCGCGGGTTTCTCACGGCAGGCAGGACTTACCTTGTGAATTTGCACATAGTGGCCGCTTGAAATTTCCAAGCCAGCACGAGCACTTTGAATTCCGTGGGGTCAACGCAGAGGTCGTTGCAAAAACGCTCCATGCCTTCCTCCAATATGGCGTCTTCTCGTTCGTCCTTGTACCTCCTGAACAATTCCTCAGTTCTGTGGAGGAACGATTCCTCGGAGCCCGAGACGGGCTCTTTCCGGGCATCTCCAGAGGAAGTGGGAGCCTGGTTGGGTTCTAAAGCAGCTTCCACCTTCTTTGTCCCATTGACCAGAATATCTCCAGAGGGTTTCCTGCCAACCAGGTTGAGCTCCTCCTTGTGATTGGTGCTCCGCTTCCCGTGAGCTTTGCCGTGGGCCTCCCGATCGCCATTTTTGCTACCCAGAGTGGAAGAAGGATTCTTGCACTTGGTGACGCACTGGCCCATATTGTAGCGTGCCCAGCGGTTAGAGCAGCCCCCACGCCGTCACACGCCTGCCCCACTGGTGATGCCTGGGCCTCTGCATGCTCTCAGTGGTCATCGGCCAGCCTGGGAGAAAGATAAGTGAGGGGAAGAAAAGATCAATCCTTCTTTTTCATCAAATAGAGGTAATCCTTGACTTGCATCCATTCATTTAGTGACCGTTCAGATTGTCACATGGCACATTCTCATCACATTTTGATTTTTTTATAAAAGAGAGAGATAAAAGAATAGAATAGAATAGAATAGAATAGAATAGAATAGAATAGAATAGAATAGGGAAAGAGTAGAGTAGAGTAGAGTAGAGTAGAGTAGAGTAGAGTAGAGTAGAATAGAATAGAATAGAATAGAATAGAATAGAATAGAATAGAATAGAATAGAATAGAATAGGAAATATAGTATTATTAGGAATTTGTCTTATAGAGGCGGGGTGGGTGTGGAGGGGTAGGAATCCAGATATTGCTGAATTATAAATTCCAGCACATCTTCTCACTGGCTGCAGGGGTGGGGGTGGGGGTGGGAGGTTATTGGGCATTGTAGTTCAGCAACCCCTCTGGAGGACTGCAGGTTTCCCAACACTGATCTCTGCTGAGCTACCATCAGGGCTCTTGGAAAGCTTCAACAGATAGAAGACAACGGTCCATCTTCTGGGAAACCCAGAAAGCATCCTTGAGAGGCCGCATCGTACACCATGGACATCTCTGTCCCAGGGGTAAAAATGCACTTACCTTCGCTACCGGATTGGAAATGTGAGCGCGCATGGACACGCGCGAGCTTCTGTGCATGCGCAAAGGGTCCAAAACGGGACGTGATGACATCCAGGCGGGTGGGCAGAGCCTCCCACCGCTGGCCCTACCAGATCCAGCTGGATTTCACCACTGCTCTGTCCCTCTCAAGGGGTTCCAGAATACCTCCCCAAACCCACTTTTTCCTCCTCCAGGCCAGCTAAAACTCAATGTCTATGGAGATTCTCAGCCATCTAGGTCAGTGATGGTGAACCTTTTCGGCACTGAGTGCCCAAACCAGAACACGCATGCATGTATGTGCATATGCACGCACCGGAGCACTGGAAACCCAAAAACCAGCTGGCCGGCACACGCATGCCTGTTTTTGGGCCGTTTTCTGGGCCATTTTTCCGCCCCAAAAATGGCCTGAAAATGGCCGAAAAACAGCTTGGTTTTGGGCCGTTTTCAGGCGCTCCGGAGCCCTCGGAGACCAGCTGGCCAGTGCGCATGTGTGCACCGGAAACCAGAAGAGCAGCTGGCGACAACACGCGTGCCCACAGAGAGGGCTGTGTGTGCCACCTCTGGCACGTGTGCCACAGCTTCGCCACCACGGATCCAGGTCATGGTTGTCCCAAAGATGCTTTTTTTCAAGAGGCAACTGGTTTTTCTTTGAAGACGTTTCGCTTCTCATCCAAGAAGCTTCTTCAGCTCTCACGAGAAGCCAAATCTCAGAGCTGGAGAAGCTCCTTGGATGAGAAGCAAAACGTCTTCAAGGAAAAACCAAGGAAGTCTCAGTTGCCTCTTGGGGAAAAAAAAAAAGAAAAAGAAAGAAAGCACCTTTGGGACAAGCTAAAACTCACGTTCTGCCAGAAGGGACGCTTAATTTCTCCCTGCAGGCGTCGAGGGCGTATCAGAAAAGCTTCCGGGAAAAACGATGCGGGCGGACATTCTGGAAATGACAAGTTGCCGGGCTAGCAAGGCTGAGTGACAAGCTAAGCCGCCGACGGTCGTGGCTTCAAAAGCTTAGGACCTGGTTACTTACGGGACCGCCTACTACCATCAATAGCCTCCCACCGACCAGTACGCTCCCACAGAGAGGGGCTCCTCCAGGTGCCGTCGGCCAAACAATGTCGACTGGCGGCCCCCAGGGGGAGAGCCTTCTCTGTGGGGGCACCGACGATCTGGAACGAGCTCCCCCCGGAGATACGGAGGATTCCGGATCTGCGCACCTTCCGCCGCGAGCTGAAGACTCTTTTATTTCATCAAGCTGGCCTCGCCTAACTCTTCTCCCTCTTAAGTGCAAATTTTAAATTTTTACTGTATTTTAAAATATGGGTATTTTAAATTATGGGTATCAATTCAGCCAAATTTATTTAATTCATTTTATTCGATTTTAAATTTTGTATATGTATGTGTTTTATTTTATGGCTGTTCACCGCCCTGAGTCCTTCGGGAGTAGGGCGGTAGAGAAATTCAATAAAATAAATAAATAAAAATAAAAGGGACGCGAGATTTGACACGGACAATATAGCTATCAATAGCTACTAGTCACAATGGCCATGCGCTTTCTTGGTATCGGGAGCAGCATCTCTCTTAATACTAGTTGCTAGGGAACGGGGACGGGGATGGGGGAAAGGAGGCCCCTGGTGCGCTCGTACCCTGCCCGTGCGCTTCCCAGAGGCATCTCGCTGGCTGTTGTAGGAAGATAATGAATTAAACAGAGTCTAATCCATCCAGCTGGGTTTCGCTTTCCATGCTTTGTGGTTGGGGAGAGAGAATAGATACAATGAGAGAAGGTGCCATAATGCGAGTATTAACTGTGCCCTATAGCTTCACAAAGCATGGATTCATAGCCTGGGGCCCGGTTACTCGCGGGGCTGTCTCCGTCTGGTTCTAGTTACCCGTCATGTGAGATCCAACAGAGGAGGCACGCTCCAACCCCCCACCCCACCCCTTCCAATCCATTAGGGAATATCATCTGGCAGGTTCCCAGAGGAGAGCCTTTTCGGCGAATATCATTCCCCTCCAGGGACGACTCTCAATAAAGATGATTCGCAGCTCGGGGTTGAAATGAAGGTCCTTCGTACTCTCTGAGCTTGGTTGTTTTCTTGCAGACGTTTCATTGGCCAAATTGGGAACATCATCAGTGCTTGGGAAGAGTGGGGTTTGGGGGGGAGGGGGAGAAGGGGGAGGAGGAGAAGAGGAGGAGGGGGGAGGAGGAGGAAGAGGACAAGGAGGAGAAGGAAGAGGAGGAAGAGGAAGGGGAGGGGGAGAGGAGAAGGAAGAGGAGGAGGAGGAGGAAGAAGAGGAGGAGGAAGAGTAGAAGGACGAGGACGAGGAGAAGGAAGAGGAGGAGGAGGAGGAGAAGGAAGAGGAGGACGAGGAGAAGGAAGAGGAGGAAGAAGAGGAGGAGGAAGAGTAGAAGGACGAGGATGAGGAGAAGGAAGAGGAGGAGGAGAAGAAGGAAGAGGACGAGGAGAAGGAAGAGGAGGAAGAGGAGGAGAAGGAGGAGGAGGAGGAAGAGGAGGAGGACATGGGGTCCTTGATGCTCTCTAAGCTTTGTTGTTTTCTTGGAGACATTTCATTACCCAACTAGGTAACATCATCAGAGCACTCTGGAGATGTTACCTAGAGGGAGCGGCTATCTTTATGTTATTGGGATGAACATTAAAAACTGACATTAGAGATGCTCACTTTAATTCCCGAGCGTTCCTGATTACTTGTTCCAACAATAGCAAGATATGGACATCCTCTGCAGCACCCCGTCCGATTCCCATCATCCTCAGCTAGCACGGCCCAAAAACTGGACGCAGCCATCATCGTAACGACGGACTACTCCGACTTACTTGAATGCACGAAAAAAAAAAAAACCCAACGACTTACATGGTATCCTCCAAAGGCCAGGAAGGCATCGCAGCATTTAGGCTGACTCTCCTCCTAAGGGAATCGGTGCCTTTTGGACGGCTGTGGAAACAAAAAGAAAAGGACTCAGAAAGCTGAAGGGGAAAAAAATTCTAGCAATGGCATGCATTTAAAAAAAAAAAAAAGAAAATTAACTCTAAAGAGGCTGGCTGCAAAACGGACCAGCTATATTTTACAGGAACATCAACACTTAACACTACTACAATCACAAGTTCCCCAGTTGTTAGCAGAGACTGAGTTGCATTAGAGCAGGCTGGGGAATTCTGGGAGTTGGAGTCCACATGTCTTAAAGGAGCCACGCCATGGTTGAACACCCCTGCATGAGGGTGTTTTCATAGACAATCTGGATCAATTTAGAGGTTTCATTATATTGTTGGAATATCATTTGATCTTTTTAGAACACAATCTGGGCCCTTATATGTAATTATATGTACAGATGGTCCTTGTCACTTCTTGATGGTCGTTAAGTCAACCTGGTTTCTCCATTGACTTTGCTTGCCAGGAGGTCACAAAAAGGGGATCACGGGACACTGCGACCGTCATAAATATGATCCAGTTGCCAAACCTCTGAATTTGGATCACGTGACCCTGGGGATGCTGCAATGGTCGTGTAGGAAGTTAGCACCCACCCGTCTCCTAGGAAAATGGGATATTTTAGGAAATATTAAAATGGCAGAATATTTCCCCTAAAAGGGAGGAAGGAACTCACCTCTCCCCCACCTTTGTCAATGGGCCATTAAGGCCTGGGCCAGTCAATTCTACATAACAAAGATCTCCCTCCTTCAGGCAGAGCCATAGTAGGAATTGCCCAAAGCCCCTTTCATTACATCATCACCCAGCAAGAGTCAACCAAGCCTGGGACATAGACAACCCACAAAGTTACCCCAAAGCCCCTTTCATTACATCATCACCCAGCAAGGCTCAACCAAGCCTGGGACATAGACAACCCACAAAGTTACCCCTGCATGGCCCCATGGGAGTCTGACAACCAATCAGAACACAAGCTCGAATTCAAAAGGCCAGAGAAGGTATAAAACCCAGGCGCTCTCAGCATCTCTTCCCTTTTTTTTTTCTTTTCACCCAAGATCTTCAAGGCATGTGATCCTGTCCACCATTGTTAAAACCATCCTTCCAAGCAGCCATCATGTTTCCAGTGTCTTTTTTTCCCCCCACTTGGAACTGAACCCAGAAGGACATTTTTTCCAACAGTTGTAAGTGTGAAAAACGGTCGTAAGTCACTTTTTTTCAGGGCTGTTGTAAGTTCGAGCGGTCACTAAGAGAAACTGTTGTAAGTTGAGGACTCTCTGCGCCCCAGCACAATAATCATTAAAATATGTTTGGGAGTGGGCATGCAGTCTTTGGTTTGAGAGCTGCCACTCCTGGGGAAAAAAAAAAATTGTTGCCTAGAAAGAGAAAGGGGAAGAGGAAGAGGAACTGCAAGCCAGCTGGGGAAGGTTCAAATCCCGGTGACTCATGACTGACATGAAAAGCTTCAGCAGGCAAGGCAGACAAGTCCAGACTTGCAAAAAATAAAAAAAATAAAATAAAAAACAAGCCAACCCTGTCTAAGGGAATTATTTGAGGTTTCCCCGTGACGATCACCGATTTTCTCATTCATTTTTGACAGTGAAAGCTTCACGGGAATTCTTCCTTCTGCAATCTGCTACAATAGTTGGGTGCGTAAATCAGAAAATATTTAGAATAGAATAGAGCTGGAAGGGACCTTGGAGGTTTTCTAGTCCAGCTCCTTGCTCAAGCAGGAGAACCTATATCATTTCAGACAAGTGACTGTCCCAGGGTGGATTTGATTTAAATCGAGTTGATTTAAATCATGATTTAAATCACTAGTAAAAAGGCTTGATTTAAATCAACTCGATTTAAATCATAATTTTTAAAGAGCGACTGTCATCTCTGCTACTCCTTTGACCCGCTGTTGACTCACCGATAGTCCCAGCGTTGCAGAATATACAGCCTCCTGCTACATAACTGAGCTCCATTTCATGCTGAATAAACTAAATTATTTATGTATCTTAAATAGAAAACTATCTTACGATAGATTTTTACCCCAAAAGTTTTTTATTAAAATAAATTCGATAAAAATAAAAATAAATCCGATTTAAATTTTTAAAAAAATCCAATTTTTTGATTTTTTTTAAAAAAATCATTGATTTTTATCTACCCTGAAACCAAGAATCTTTTACACAAGGCTCCCCTGAAATTCCAAAGGCAGTCTTTTGTAGAACGTTTGTGCAAGATTCACAAAGGAAGGGGGAAAAAAAAAACACAAAGCAAAAGAAGATTAACCACAACAGATTGCTCAATTCAATAGTCAGGAAGGCGAGGGACAGCTCATAAAAATCAACTGTTCCCTGCCTGCCCTTCAATCCCCAATGCAACATCCGGTGAGCAGGGCATAATCCGATGCCATCTGTGCCTACTTGCGAGGCCTAAACTGGGTTAGGCTTAATTTTGGAAGGTTTACAATTACAAACGTCGTATTTGTATGTTTTTTACTTGCATCGGTGTACTGTTATTCAGATACAGATGACAGATAACGAAAAAGCAACTTGTGACTTGTTTTTCACACTTACGACGGTCGCAGCATCCCCGGGGTCACGTGATCAAACTTCAGACGCTCGGCAATTGACTCGTAATTATGACGGTGGCCGTGTCCAGGGGTCACGTTATCCTCTTTTGCGACCTACTGACCAGTAAAGTCAATGGGGAAGCCAGATTCATTTAACAACCAGGTTACTAATTGAATTGAATTGAATTACTAATACTAATTTAACAGCTGCCGTGATTCACTTAACAACTGTGGCAAGAAAGGTCGTAAAATGGGTCAAAGCTCACTTAGCAAATGTCTCGCTGAACAACAGAAATTTCGAGGCTCAATTGTTGCCGTCAGCCCACGTCATCCTCGACTTACAACCTCAGTTTGGTCACTGTCCAAAGTTGCAACAGCTCTGAAAAAAGTAACCGACGACCAATCCTCACACTTATGACCGTTTGAGCATCCCCAGGGTCAGTTCATCAACGTTTGGGTGCTTGGCAACTGGTGTGAGTGTGTTTGTGACAGTTGCGGTATCCCAGGTTCACACAACTTCCCAACAGGCTTCTGACAAGCCAAGTCAATGGGGGATGCTGGGTTCTTTTAATGACTCAGCGATTCACTTAACGACTGCAGGGGCAAAAAGGTCGTAAAATCAGGTGTGACTCATTTAACAACCCAATTGCTCAGCGATGGAAATTCTGGTCCTATTGTGGTTGACTCAGCGATTCACTTAACGACTGCAGGGGCAAAAAGGTCGTAAAATCAGGTGTGACTCATTTAACAACCCAATTGCTCAGCAATGGAAATTCTGGTCCTATTGTGGTTGCATAGTCTATCTGTACGAACCCTGTCCTGGTTAATTTTTCCAGTCCAGAGAAGGTTAGCCAAGACGTCACTATTTAAAGAGCATCGTCTGACATACAATTTCATCCCTGCTAGGTGGAAATCTTGTCATTGGAAAAACAACATCTGGAGAGACCGTCTTGAGTCCTCACGAGACAGAGAGAGAAACAGATGTGAGTTTTTCCAACACTGCCATCGGCTTCACAAATAGCTAAGTAGCATTCCTACTGCAGAAGCTGGTAAAGTCCTTAACTTTCTGACAAATTTCCTTGCCACAAATATGTGAAAACCATGAAAAAAAAAAACCCAAAAGCCATGAGTTCACTCCTTCGTATCTTCCTTATCTTTTCCACATCGCTGATTCGCTGAACAGCATGACAGATAGTCCTCGACGTACGGCCACAATGAAGCCCCAACATTTCTGTTGCTAAGTGAGACATTGGTTAAGTGAGTTCCCCCGCCCCCCGGTTTATGACATTTCTCGCCCAGGTTGTTAAGTTAATCAGTGACCTGGTGATTAAGTGAGAATCCATTGACTTTGCTTCTCAGACAGTCGCAAAAGGGGATCGGGACACAGCAACGGTCGTAACTATGAACCAGTTACCAACTATCTGAATTTTGATCACATGACCATGGGGTTGCTGGTATGGTCGTAACTGTGAAAAACGGGTGAGTGGCATTATGTCCTCACACCTTCACTGTACGAACTAACGAAGTGCAAAAACAATTGAGGTTGCAACCATGGGGGACACACACTGTTAAGAATAACAACACTTGTGTCCCTTGGTGAGGGAATAAAAAAGCTACGCACCTGCTCTCAGAGGTGCATGTCTAATTGCTTTTTCATTACCACACCTACTAACGATGAGTAACACTAAAAAGGTAAAGTTAGAGGTTCCCCTCAGACATATGAGAGTAAATAAGGGCATGATTTGTTGTCTGTTTTGGTACATATATTTGTATTTATACATATATATTAAATGTTATATTTAATATATCTCCGCCTTTCAGTCGCTACATCCAAGCCATACAACTACATCATGCAATGTTGTTGCTCTTCGTCCCTGTTTATTATTAATTTTAACGTGAATCATTTCTACAGGCAGCTTGAGAAAATACTCCCTTTTGAAAAGAGACTCGATATTTTTATAATAAATAACACCCATATTAAAAGGGATTTTTGTTTTCACCACCTTGTGGAGTCGGGGTGACTAGATAGAGCTTGAGCATTTACTGGCCGGATGCCCTTCCTGACACCCACATGAAGTACACAGCAGATTTTTTTTTTTCTATCCACCTTAAGAAAGAAACATCCGCACAGCCTAGGATTGAACTCTCAACCATCCTGAGTGGCATCTTCACCACTAGGCCACCAAGCCACTCAACAACTCATGTTAACAGTAATATGCAAAAAAAAAGTAAGCAATCAAATCCCAGTCAAGCCTTCCTTAACACCCCCTCGCTTGCTCCTCCTAGTAAGAAAAGTAAGAAAACCTAAGCAATTGCAGGAGAGACTCAGATGGAGAAACAGATGGACCATCTGCTTGGTGGCACCCACTGCAAAAAGCACAATCTTGACAACAATGCTGAGGCTTTTTTTTTTTTTTTAAAGGAAAAACTCAACTCATGCCACACAAATGGATGCCATACAACTTCTTACCATGAAATAAAAGGGGTTTGCTTGAAAGGATTACAGGAAAATAAAGAGAAGGAAAACTTCCTTGCGTTGAAACTAAGGTGGAAGTTCCTAGTATGGTAGTAAAATTAGTTGACTGTACAGCTACTTCCTTTCTCTTAAAAAAAAGCAATGGGTTTCCATAGCTGAGGATTTTTAAGCTATCATTTGGTTAAAAGTTGACTTTTGCCGCCCCTGCGATCATTTTCAGCATCTCTGCAGGTTTCCTGCTGCATAAATGCAAGGTGTGATAGAACCCACATTAAGGCACAGAAGGAGAGACATTATTTTACGGTTCACAAAATAAGCCTTTCTTTAATTTGAGTAATTTAAATATTTGCACTCCAGTTCTAAGAATTCCACAGCCAGCACAGTCATGGGAGGAAATCCTGGGAGCTAAAGTCTCCAGGTACATTTGATTGTAGGTGATGCTTCCTGTCCCAGGGTCATGTGATTTCCACCCCCCCCCCCCCCCCCCCACCTTTGCGACCTTCTGACAAAGAAAGTCCACAGGGAAGCCAGATTTACTTAACAACCGTGTTGCCAATTTAACAACTGCAGTCATTCGCTTAACAAATGTGGCGAGAAAAGTCACGAAAGGGGGCAAAACTCACTTAACAAATTTCTCACTTAACGACATAAATTTGGGGCTCAATTGTGGTCGCAAGTTGAGGTCTACCTGTATTCACGGTTGAGCCTGGAAGCTCAGTGGCTGATTTTAAAACCCTTATCCTCTTCTTCTTGTGAGAAATTTGAAAGTCACTCCTGACAAAGACGTGGAAAACATTCTCCGTGGCATAGATAGATAGATAGATAGATAGATAGATAGATAGATAGATAGAGAGAGAGAGAGAGAGAGAGATGATAGTAGATAGATAGAGATCGATATAGAGAAAGAAAAAGAAAGAAAGAAAGAAAGAAAGAAAGAAAGAAAGAAAGAAAGAAAAAGAGAGGGAGGGAGGGAGGGAGGGAGGGAGGGAGGGAGGGGAAGGAAGGAAGGAAGGAAGGAAGGAAGGAAGAAAGGAAAGGAAAGGAAAGGGAAAGAAGGAAGGAAAGAAAGAAAGAAAGAAAGAAAGAAAGAAAGAAAGAAAGAAAGAAAGAAAGAAAGAAAGAAAGAAAGAAAGAAAGAAAGAAAGAAAGAAAGTAAGTAAGTCAGTCGACTGGGAAAATAACCGAGGCCTGAGTTTGAGAAATTGGGGAAGCCGTCTTTTCAATCATCAAAAGCCAAGACTAAGATAACGGGGAAACGTTAATTCTTTGATTCGTATCTGATCCAGACAGCCGATCTCCCCTTGCATCTCCCTTCCCGTCACATCAGCAAACGCACGACAAGTTTTTTGAAATGCAAATCTGGACCTCGGCGAGTCCATCTATATTGTCTTTTCTCTTGATCAGCTACAGTTTTGTTTTCTTCTTTTACGACACAATATTCCAGGCGCTCAAGAATTCCCTTTCATGTGACAGCCTTTCCACAGATTAGAGTTCAGCTCTGCAGATTTCAGCTATTCCTTAATACCTGGGTCTCTTCCTTCCTCCCCGGGCTTCCAATCTGGCTTGTAAAAAGCTCTGCTCCCTGAACATTGAAATCCGAAGAGGCTTTTGTCTTGTGGATTTTACACAGCTGTCTCCCCACACCGCAGCAGTTAGGGTCCCTTACACAAAAGGAGGAAAGAGAGAGAACACAAGGAAGAAACTCAGTAGTCCTTGACTTATGACCACAATCAAGAGCCTTGGTAGTACAGTAGTTTAAAGCACCCTGTTATTAACACAGCTGCCTGCAATTACTGCATGTTCGAATCTCCCCAGGCTCAAGGTTGACTCAGCCTTCCATCCTTTCTAAGGTGGGTAAAATGAGGACCCGGTTTGTGGGGGCAATAAGCTGACTTTGTATAAAATATACAAAAGGATGAAGGCTATTGCTTAATGCATTGTAAGCCGCCCTGAGTCTCCGGAGAAGGGCGGCATATAAATCAAATAAAAAAAAAAAAACCAGGTCTCTGGTCTAAGACGGTAATAAACTGATTGGTTGATTGACCACAATTCAGCCCCAACTTTCTGACGCTAAGCGAAACAATTGTTCCGTGAGCTTTACGACTCTTCTTGCCGCAGTCATTAAGTGAATTGGTGCAGTTGTTAAGGCAGGAACAGGGTTCTTAAGGGAATCTGGCTTTCTCCATTGACTTTGCCTGTCAGGTGGTCACGAAAGGGGACTGTATGATCCCTGGATGTGGTAACCGTCATTTCAGCCTTTATGGGGTTGGAAGCAGTGGTGAAATGCAGCCGGTTCTATCTGGCTCAGGCGAACCGGTAGCACCAGCGGCGGGAGGCTCCGCCCACCCGCCTGGACATCATCATGTCCCGTTTTTTTACCCTCTGCACATGCGCAGAAAGCTCCGCGCCTGTGTGGAGGAGGCGCACGCGCTCACATTTGCGAACTGGTAGCGAAGGTAAGTGGATTTCACCCCTGGTTGGAAGGGAGATTTAGTGGCCATCAAGACGACGGGCGAGAGTGTCCATCACATCTCACAGGTGTTCCAACCTCAGTCCCAGAACATCCTGCAAATTGATGGGTGCAGCTGCAAATGGCCAATTGCCGTTGTCTCTCTCTCTCTACCCGCTGAAGACGGAAACCAATACGGGTTACTATGCAATTACCATTGTTTTTAATGACGGGAAGAAATAAGCTACTACGGCCAGCTAATTAAGAGACAGCGAGGGGCCCAATAGCCACAAAGAGACTCGGCTATCGGCGCCTTTCAAAACAGAGAAAAGATACCATTACAACATCTCCTCTAAGAGGTGGGAATGAAAAAGCAGGATTATTGTCACATAGTTATCCGAAAGGAGTAAAGTTTGAGAGTTGTTTTTTTTTTAAATCATTAAGAGTGGAAGATTTGGCTAGCCAGATAGCAACTGAAGTGGCTGAAATGCCCTTTTTTAAAAAAGCACCAGGCTGAGATTTTTCAGAGCAGAAAGACTGGAATTTCCCAGTTCAAACGCTGCAGAAGTGCAATATGGGGTTTTCTACACAAGTTCGGCAGAGATCGGCTTTGAGTAATAGATGACAAAAAAAATTCAATGATAATTCAGAAACTTCCCTATTTCTTATAACGCCAATCGTAGCGAAGGCCACGGTAATCTGTCCATTCATTTCATTTCATTTTCATTTTATTGAATTTGTATACCGCCCTACTCCCGAAGGACTCAGGGCGGTGAACAGCCATAAAATAAAACATATAGATACAAAATTTAAAATAGATTAAAACGAATTAAATAACTTTGGCTGAACCATTTTAAAACCCCAATAAATTAAAACCAGATTTAAAATTCCATTTAAAAAGAGGAAAAGTTTAGGTCCATCGCCAGTCTCTTTTCTTAGTTGTATTGTGGAAATGAAAAACTTAAAGGACAAACCGTTTTCTTCGGGCTGCGCAGAGGAAGGCACTCTACAGGTAGTCCTTGACTTGCAACCATTCGTTTAGTGACCGTTCAAATTTACAAAGGCACCGAAAAAAGTGACTTATGGGCAAATTTTCACATGACGCTTGCAGCTTCCCCATGGTCACGTGATCAAACATTCGGATGTTTGGTACACTGGCATGTATTGATGACGGTTGAACTATCCTGGGATCACGATTTGCGACCTTCCCAGCTGGCTTCGGACAAAATCAATGAGGGAAGCTGGATTAGCTTAATGACCACACACGATTCAGTTAATGACTGCAGCAATTGGCTTAACAGCTGCGGCCAAAAAGGCTGTAAAATGGGGCACAGCTGACTTAAACAAGGGCCTGGCTTAGCCACAGAAATTTGGGGGCTCGATCGCGGTCGCATGTCAAGGACTGCTTGCACATTCAGAAAATTTACTCAGTTCTACCCTCTATCCCAGGGATGGCTAAACTTTTTTTTTTTTTTTTTAATTTGATTTATATGCCGCCCTTCTCCGGAGACTCAGGGCGGCTTACAATGCGTTAAGCAATAGCCTTCATTCTTTTGTATGTTTTTATACAAAGTCAGCTTATTGCCCCCACAAACTGGGTCCTCAATTTACCTACCTTAGAAAGGATGGAAGGCTGAGTCAACCTTGAGCCTTGGCGAGATTCGAACCTGCAGTAATTGCAGGCTGCTGGTCTTAATAACAGGGTGCCTTAGACCACTGTACTACCAAGGCTCAAGTGCCCAAAGCGTGTGCACGAACCCACAAAATGCAATGCTTTTGCATTGCTTAACGCATTGTAAGCCGCCCTGAGTCTCCGGAGAAGGGCGGCATATAACTGAAATTAAAAAAAAAAAATGCAAGCATAGCCCCCCGTATGCGCCCTGCCCATCCGTGCGTGCCCTCCGCGCATGTGCGGCAGAGACCCAAAGACCAATTGGCTGGCAGGAGGCGCGTACACATGCGCGGTGGAACTAAGCTGGGGCAACGGCTCGCATGCCCAGAGAGAGAGCTCTGCCTGCCACCTCTGGCACGTGTGCCATTGGTTCGCCACCACTGCTTCCTGTTTCAGATCCGAACAATATATTCCCTGGAAAATCCTCCAGCAAAAAAAGGCAGGGGGGGCAATCTGTTGTCAGCAGGTCTGCAAAAACAAGAAAACCCCAGGGGGAAAAAAAAAATCAGCTTTTATTGTTTGCTTTAGAAGGTTGGCTCCCAAAAGATCATAGAGTCTGGGCTGCTATCATCGACGGACACAAGGTGGGGAAAATTTTCCGCAAAAGGTTTTCCAGGAGGGAACGCTCCAAATATTTCCTGCCAGTAACAACTGTAAAATTGGATGGAGATATAATACAGGTAGTTCCTCGATTTACGCCCACAATGGAGCCCAAAATTTCTGCGGCTAAGTTGAATTTTGCCGCGTTTTGACTTTTCCTGCCACATTGGTTAAGTGAATCCTTGCCATTGTTAAATGAGTGACCCGGTTGTTAAATGAATCCGGCTACCTCATTGTCTTTGCTTCTCGGAAGGTCGCTAAAGGGAATCGCATGACCCTGGGACACCGTCGTAAATATGAGTTGGTGGTCTCAATTTTGAACATCTGTCCCCATGGGGATGCTGCAATGGTCGTAAGTGTGAAAAAAAGGTCATATTTTTCAGTGCTGTTTGTAACTAAACGAACGATTTTTAAGTCAAGAATCATCTGTATTTTAACAATGCCAGAGAACGATACACTCCTGTCTTAAATTAAGAATCACTATACCAATCACAACGATTCTAAGGTTAAACTTTTAAAAAATTGTGTTTATTCGGCCCCAGTCCTTAACTATGACTGACTGGGTTTTGTTTTTTTTCTCAAGATACACGATGTTTAAAAAAAAAAAATGCCCAAAACAATCTGGGAAATTTTCCAGTTCACATTCTCCAGAAAATCTACAACACTTGTCCTGGAACACGAGAGGGAAACCAATAACCCAAGTTTAAACACGAATGTTCTCCAAATCCGGAGCCAAGACTAAATGTCATAATAAGATTGTTTACCACTGCATTCTTGAAAGCCTGCTCAGTGTCGTGTTTTTCGTTTTGTTTTTTTTTTAAAAAAGAAATTATTGCTGGAGCCCATGTCGAAATGGAAAATGCAGAGAAGCCAAGGCCCTTCTCTAAAACAATATTGTAAGTTTCCCCCCCCCCCCCCCCGTGCTCTATCACTCTGATAAACAACTAATTCCAACAACACGGTTTATGCCCTGGGATGTCAAACCACCTAGTAAGGCTGTATTATTTATTATCCTTCTCACCTCTCCTACTATCTATGCAGGGGTGGGGCTTAAAAATTTTACCAAGGGGTTCTCTGCCTGGTTGCTGGGTGGGCGGGGCCTAGTCGGCTTCCTGCACCACGGAGCGGGTGTTTTTTGCCCTCCCTGGGCTCCGGAGGCTTTCCTTGAGCCTCCAGGAGGGCGAAAATGGCCTCCCCAGGCTCCAGAGGCCCTCTGGAGGCTGGAAACAGGGCCGTTTCCAGACTTCTGATAGGCCCATTTTTTGCCCTCCCTGAGCCTCCACGTGTGCGCTACACTTACCTGCATCCAAAATGGGCTGCGTGGGGACTCCTGGGAGGGGTGGGGCGGGGTGGGTGGGACCAGCCAGGAATGGGATTTGGGGGTTCTCCGAACTGCACAGAATCTTAGCTAGAGGTTCTCCCGAACCCCTGCAAACTCCCAGCAGCCCACCCCTGTATCTATGTCCTTAGCTTCTTAGGACTATAACTTTGTTGTTGTATCTCATGATTTATGCTTTTAGTATTCTATCATGATATATGTTGGTTGATTTAGTATCCTAGGAATATGAGTGTTGTAATCTATGATTTAAAGTTTAGTTTAGTTTAGTTTAGTTTATTTGATTTATATACCACCCTTCTCCCTGAGGACTCAGGGCGGTGTACAGCCAGAATTAAAAAACATAAAATACAAATATTAAAAAACAATTAAAATATATATAAATTTGGCCCAAAATTAAAAATACAAACCAATTAAAACATTTAAAATTTCTTCTTAAGCCAGCCCAGCTTGCTGGAAAAAGTGGGTTTTAAGGGCACGGCGGAAGGCACTAAGGTCTTGGATTCTCCTTATCTCTGGGGGCAACTGATTCCAATAAAATACATAGATACAAAAAATTTAAAAAACCAGATAAAATCGAATTTAACCATTTTGGCCCAGACAA